TGCAAAGAAGCTTCCCACTACCGGTTTTTTAAACTCAACCCATCATCTCAGATATGGGTAGTATTTTTTGACAAAATTCAAAAAATTCAGAAAAATAACAAAAAAAAAAATTCCCAGGACAATAGATTTTTGTATGAGAGTTTATGAGTGGCTTTTTATGCAGAATAATTTCGCTTACGTTTATTGAAACCAAAAAAAAACAGGTTTGGCAGAGTAGTTTTTGAGAAAAGCCAAAAAAAAGTCAAAAAATCAAAACTTTGAATAAAAAGTTGACAAAGGAGTTTTCTACAACCTGTTCTTTGGGTTGAACTGAACATTTCATTTATAGGAGAGTATTGTTTGGTGAAATTCATGAAATTTAATAAGTAACTTTTAAAATTAAAAAAAAATAGTTTTCCAAGCAAAATAACTTTTTGTGTAAACCAATTTCAGACTGACCGCTAATTCAAGGTAGCTTCTCACTAACCGTAAACTCCATCAAACCCACCAGTTCAGATTTGAGAGGTAATTTTTCAAGAAAAGTCAAGAAATGGTTTTAAAAAATCAAAACTTCAGTGTTCCGAGGACCATAGTTTTAAGGGGAAAAACGTTGGAGCGTAGCCTTTTATAGTGAGGAGCTTTCCAAGTACTCTCTATTCATTGAAGTAAAAATCTCAGATCTAGTTTTTGAGAGAACGAAAAAAAATCAGTTATCTGTCAAATATTCCCACCACCGATTTTTTGAAGGTTGCAGACAAAGTGCTAGAGAAATTAAGACAGACAGAAACAGAGTTATAGGCGCGATACGGCGAGAGATAAAAATTGCAAAAATAAAAAAAATTAAAATCATTTTCAAAAAGTTACACGTAACGTTTCTTGTCGTCTGCATGAAAAGTAGAAAAACGCCAAGCTTCGCTTATACTTATTCAAAGTGAGAATATAAGACAGACAGAAACAGAGTTAGAGGTGCGATATGGCGAGAGATGAAAAGTGCAAAAACTAAAACTTGCAAACATTAATGAAAAAACTTACAAGTAATGATTCTTATTGTATACATTTAGATAGAAAAACGCCCAACTTCGAAGATACTTATCTAACGTGAGAAATTAGGACAGACAGAAACAGAGTTACAGGTGCGATATGGAGAGAGATGAAAATTGCAAAAATAAAAAAAAATTAAAATCATTTTCAAAAAGTTACAAGTAACGTTTCTTGTCGTCTGCATGAAAAGTAGAAAAACGCCAAGCTTCGCTTATACTTATTCAAAGTGAGAATATAAGACAGACAGAAACAGAGTTAGAGGTGCGATATGGCGAGAGATGAAAAGTGCAAAAACTAAAACTTGCAAACATTAATGAAAAAACTTACAAGTAATGATTCTTATTGTATACATTTAGATAGAAAAACGCCCAACTTCGAAGATACTTATCTAACGTGAGAAATTAGGACAGACAGAAACAGAGTTACAGGTGCGATATGGAGAGAGATGAAAATTGCAAAAATAAAAAAAAATTACAATCATTTTTAAAACGTTACAAGTAACGTTTCTTGTCGTCTGCATGAAAAGTAGAAAAACGCCAAGCTTCACTTATACCTATTCAAAGTGAGAAATTAAGACAGACAGAAACAGAGGTACAGGCGCGATATGGCGAGAAATGGAAAGTGCAAAAAAATAAAAACTTTCAATCATTAAAAAAAACACTTACAAGTAACGTTTCTTGTCGTCTGCACGAAAAGTAGAAAAACGCCAAGCTTCGCTGATACTTATTCAAAGTGAGAAATTAAGACCAATTGAAACAGAGTTAGAGGTGCGATATGGCGAGAGATGAAAAGTGCAAAAACTAAAACTTGCAAACATTAATGAAAAAACTTACAAGTAATGATTCTTATTGTATACATTTAGATATAAGAACGCCCAACTTCGCTGATACTTATCTAACGTGAGAAATTAAGACAGACAGAAATAGAGTTACAGGTGCGATATGGCGAGAGATGAAAATTGCAAAAAAAAAACAAAATCATTTTTTAAAAGTTACAAGTAACGTTTCTTGTCGTCTGCATGAAAAGTAGAAAAATGCCCAGCTTCACTCATACTTATTCAAAGTGAGAAATTAAGACAGACAGAAACAGAGGTACAGGCGCGATATGGCGAGAGATGAAAAGTGCAAAAAAAATAAAAACTTTCAATCATTAAAAAAAACACTTACAAGTAACGTTTCTTGTCGTCTACATGAAAAGTAGAAAAACGCCAAGCTTCGCTGATACTTATTTAACGTGAGAAATTATGACAGACAGAAACAGAGTTACAGGCGCGATATGGCGAGAGATGAAAATTGCAAAAAATTGAAACTTACAATCATTTAAAAAAATTACAAGTAACGTTTCTTGTCGTCTGAATGAAAAGTAGAAAAACGCCAAGCTTCGCTTATACTTATTTAACGTGAGAAAGTAAGACAGACAGAAAGAGAGTTACAGGCGCGATGTGGCGAGAGATGAAAAGCGCAAAAAATTAAAACCTACAATCATTTTAAAAAAGCTACAAGTAGCGTTTCTTGTCGTCTATATGAAGAGTAGAAAAACGCCAACTTCGCTTATACTTATCTAACATGAAAAATAAGACAGACAGAAACAGAGTTACACGCGCGATATGGCGAGAGATGAAAAGCGCAAAAACTAAAGCCTACAATCAGTAATGCAAACAAAATTTACAATTAACATTTCTTATCGTCTACATGAAAAATAGAAAAAAGCCACGCTTTGCTTATACTTTTTTAACGTGGCAATTTAAAACAGATAGAAAGAGATTTACCGAAGCAATATGGCGACAGATGAAAACTGCAAAACTAAAACTTACAAACATTAATAATAAAACAAGTAATGTTTCTTATTGTCTACATTTAAATCGAAAAACGCCCAACGCGCCGATTTTTTTTTAAAGTGAGAAGTGTGAGAAATTAAGAAAGACAGAAACAGAGTTATAGGCGCGATATGGCGAGAGATGAAAAGTGCAAAAATTAAAACTTAAAATCATTAAGAAAAAAACTTACAAGTAACCTTTCTTATCATCTACATGAAAAAAAGAAAATCGCCAAACTTCGCTTATACTTATTTAACGTGAGAAATTAAGAAAGACAGAAACAGAGTCACAGGCGCGATATGGCGAGAGATGAAAAGTACAAAAACTAAAAATTACAACCATAATTTAAAAAAACTTACAAGTAACGATTCTTATCGTCTACATGAAAAAATAGAAAAACGCCAAGCTTCGCTTTTACTTATTCAACGTGAGAAACTAAGAGAGACAGAAACAAAGTCACAGGCGCGATATGGCGAGAGATGAAAAGTACAAAAACTAAAAATTACAACCATAATAAAAGAAGAAGTTTACAAGTAACGTTTCTTATCGTCTACCTGAAAAATAGAAAATCGCCAAAGTTCGCTTGTACTTATTTAACGCGAGAAATTAAGACAGATAGAAAGAGATTTACCGGCGCAATATGGCGACAGATGAAAACTATAAAAAATAAAACTTACAAAAATTAACAAAAAAACATACAAGTAATGTTTCTTATCATCTACATTTAAATAGAAAAACGGCCAACTTCGCAGATACTTTTTTAAAGTGACAAGCGTGAGAAATTAAGACAGACAGAAACAAAGTCACAGGCGCGATATGGCGAGAGATGAAAAGTACAAAAACTAAAAATTACAACCATAATAAAAGAAGTTTACAAGTAACGTTTCTTATCGTCTACCTGAAAAATAGAAAATCGCCAAAGTTCGCTTATACTTATTTAACGTGAGAAATTAAGACAGACAGAAACAGAGTTAGAGGCGCGATATGGCGAGAGATGAAAAGTGCAAAAACTAAAACTTACAATCATAAATAAAAAAAAACTTACAAGTAACATTTCTTATCGTCTACATGAAAATTATAAAAACGCCAAGCTTCGCTTATACTTATTCAACGTGAACGATTAAGACAAACAGAAACAGAATTACAGGTGCCAAATAGCGACACATGTAAAATGCAAAAACTCAATCTTTCATGCGTTTTTAAAAGACTGATTCATACGTGATTGTTCAATGGCTATATGAAATTACTTTCATACCAATTGATACGTAGATTCAAAATGTTTTTTAGATTTTGTGTTGGTTCTACATTCAAACTTAAATTTACTCAGCATTCAAAGCTTTCTGATCACATCTTAAGATTTATGCGAAGACTCGTCTTTTTGGCTTTTCTATTTTTTTTTTCGTTTTAAAGGCATTTGCTAGCCATGTTTTGAACTTTTGAGAAAAACAATCTAAAACAACTTATTTTGATGAGGCATTGTTCAGAAATATTTTGTTGATAAAGACTTTAAATTGCATTTTTTTTTCATGCTTATCAAAAAAGCGAAACTGATATTACAACTGAAATTGATGCGCCGATTACTATAGAGTTGATTTCGGTTTGCGATTTTTCTGTTGCAAATACGGCGGAGAAAAATTTAATTTTGAAAATCATCTGAGCTTAAGAACATACCAGAAGATGGGGAATTGTGTTTGCTCATTTTGGTCTCAAAAAATTATGAGCCTTAACACTTTTGAAGTGCATAGCATTAATTTTATTAGGGAAAACTTTTTCAAAAAAATGAGAAAACACAAAAAATTCTCAAATTTGATTTTTGGTTCGTTATTTTACAAAATCGTTCAATATTTGTGCCGCCAAAATGAGCTTATAGTTGAATCAGCCACATTTTCACTAAACGACATCATCAAAAGGGTTTAATAAATGTTTGTTGCATAATTTGACTAAATGAGGTATAGTAAAAGTATAAAACAACAAGCTCACAAATTTCACCGTTTCAGTTTTTTGGCAATTTTTGGACTTTTCAGTCCATCAGCTCACTCTGGCGACACAAATTTTGAATGAATTTCAAAATAACGAATTTCCAAGTCTGTAACTACCTGTTTTCGCATCTTTTTTTTTCCATCCTTTAAGTTGAGATACAATAGATATCCAGAATTTCACTCACCACTGTAACAGCAAATTCCAACTGATAATGAAGTAAAAGCAGCAAATGACAAGATTTTGAGGAATTTTATTCAAAAATCAGACAATGAAAGATTTTTTGCGGCGATGAGTTTATTTTTTAATGAAAAATGCGTAAAACTAAAGTTGCATGCGTTATTATCAAAAAACAGCTTAAATGTTATGGCTTTTATCGGCTGATTAAAAACGCATAAAATAATACTGGCATGTGTTGCTAAGAAAAAACAGCATGTGCGTTATGATTTTAATTGGCTGATAAAAAGTGCGTGGGATATAAAACGCATGCATTATTATAAAAAAACTTATTCGTGATAGAATATATCAGCTGCAAAACAAAACAGAAAAATGCTAAGCTTAACTTTAATTAATTCAGCATGATAGGTAAAGAATGTAAGAAAATAAACTTAAAAACGCTAAATTGTTACGTGTTTAAATAAGCTACATACGTACATAAGCAAAAATTTGCATGCATGATTATCAAATGTAGCTTTGTTCTTTTTATTATTTTCTCAAACAATCTATAAATTTGTTTTATGCTATTTCTTGGTATGCGATTGGGTTAAAGTTAAATTTAATATGAAAAAATAAAATATGTTAAAACAGAATTAAACAGTGTAAGAGTTTTGGGACCGAACAAAGTTCTTTGCACTTCGCTCGCAAATGTTTTGAAAATCGTCAAAACTTTCTGCAATCAGAATCAAGATTGAGAGCGCTTTAACATTGTATTTTTTCAAAACTCTGAGAGATTTTTTGAGGTCGACAAAATTTGTAGATAATACCCACCCTTCACAATAGTAACTGGAAAGTGGCAGCAAAAACATCAAAGAAGACTCATAAATTTCAATTGAGTGGAAAAAGGGAAGAAAAATGGTTTCAGAAAGCGTTTGTACGACTTCAAAATAGGGCCAAAAATTATACTCGGGAAATAACAATTTTTTAACCTACACAGAGGCAAATCAAAGTTTCGCACCACTTTCGGTACAACGAAATCATGAAAACTGGTTAAAAATGAAAAAAAAAAATTGAAAAGTTGGTGAATCAAAATTTTCGTACAACTCGATGAAGAACACCTAGGGCCCAGTTCTAAAGCTAAATGTACATATTTGATGTTTTTTGAACAAATTATACTGATTTGGTGCAAAATGGGAAGTTTAAAAAACGGACTGTGCCCAAAACCTTATTTGTTTCTTTTCTAAAATAAATAAAATGAGTGCAATTTTAAGACTTTGGAATTTTTCCAAAGACATAATTTTCTTGTACAGAAAAACTTAAAAAGTCACTTCTGTATGAAAAACTCCCACTATTGCTTCTTTCAATTGAACTTTTTATCTCAGATTTGATAGTGTATTTTTTAAGAAAATTCAGTTTCTTACAAACGGTCAAAGTTCAAAAACTTGACTTTCAGACCGTGTCCGGTAAAGTAGAGAAGATTCTCACATCGGGTCTTTCTATTGCACACTAAACCTGAGAATTGGCAAAATAATTTTTTGTGTAAAAAAAATTCAGAGTGGCCATTAATTCAAGGTAGCTTCTCACTACTCGTTATCTCCATCAAACCCACCAGTTCAGATTTGAAAGGTTATTTTTCGAGAAAAATCAAAAAACGGTTTTAAAAAATACAAATTTCACTATTCCGAGGACCATAGTTCAAGGGTAGAAAAGTAGTGAGAAGCGCAGTCTTTTATAGGGGATCGTAGTCTTTTATAGTGAGGAGCTTTCCAGGTACTCTCTGTTCATTGAAATAAAAATCTCAGATCTAGTAATTATATTTCAAATATTCCATACCACAGATTTTTGAAGGTTCCAGAGAGAGTGTTACAGCTTAAAGAGACCAGCGGAGTATGCAGTCAACGAAATTTGTTGGCGTTATTTCCATGGCTACTTTTTGAAGATTGGTATGAAAAATTTTGCAAAAGTGAACTTTTTTTTTACAAAAAGTGATAGAATTTTCCCAAGAGTTTTTAAAAAATTAAAACCCCGCTCTCAAATAATTTCATAACAAGTGTTCTTCTTGAAAAAGAATTCTAGATTAGCCAAGACATTTGAATTGCGAAGGCGAAGCGGAGCTTTGCACCACTTGCTATACAACACAAACACAAAAAAGTCGAAAAAAAATAAATTTTAATAAAAACGAGTTGAACCAAAATTTTTTTAGTCTTGATAAAAAACTAGGGTCCCAGCTAAAGCTGGAGGTACGTGTTTTATCCAAAATGAAATTTCTCTACTCATGCGGCACGAAAAATGTGATTTCAAAATTGAACTTTGCCCAAACAATTAGTAGTTTCTCTACAAGTTTTGAGATAATCAATTTTCTCATGGATATAACAATCCTCTTACAAGAAATTAAGGAGTCGCCGCTTCTGTATTCATCTCAGATTTGGTTGGGTAATTGTTAGGAAAATTCAAAAAAATCTAGAAAAATCGGTCACAAGTTAATAAATGCGGTCGCAAGATTTTCTAAAATTCATAAGTTGTTTCGACAAATAGCAACTTTTAGTCACTAGCGCAAAAAAAAATCCCGAAATCGGATATCTCTACTAAACACAGCCTGAAAATTGGCACAGTGATTTTCGCGTAAGGCAAAAAACTCCAAAAAACTGTCTAAGTTTCAAAACTTCGACTTGTTTAAAGGCCATAACTTTTTAAAACAAACTGTGTATGGCCACACATAAACGTAGGTTTTCAAGAACCTGTTGTTTTGGTTAAACTTTTGATATCAAATTTGGCAGAATAGTTAGCGAGAAAAGTCCAAAAAAACGGTCAACAAAACGGAGAAAAGTATAAACAAACGGTCAACACAAAAATATCTTTTCAAAGAACCATACGTATTTGTGCAAAGAACAGGGCGGAGGATTAAACTCAAAATGTCAGACTTGAGAGAATACTTTTCGATAAAAAAATAAACACAAAACTTTGAAAAAAAAGGTCAAAAAATCAAAAGTCCCGAGGGCCATAAAATTGGGAGTCGGAAAAATTGGGACGTGGTTGCCTAACAAAATGAACTACCGAAAACCTCTTCTTTTATTTGAACCGAACTTCTCAGATCTGACAGGGAAGTTTTCGAGAATATTCAAAAGAATTAAAAAACGGTCCAAAAATCATAAATTAGAATTTTCCGAGGGCGATATTTTTTTGTGTGAAAAACAATTAGTAAATGGCTGCTAATGCAGGGGAGTTTTTTGGTACCCGGTAACTCCCTTGAACTCAAAAAAAAAACAGAGTTGAGATGTTAGTTTTTGATAAAAGTCATTAAGAATCACAAAACCGACAGCAATCAAGAATTGGACTATTCCAAGGGCCATAACTTTTAATGTAAAAAACAACTGGGCGTAGCCATTTATGCAGTAGAGTTTTTTTTAAAAGTCCTAACCATGAACACAACTTGAGAATTGGCATAGAAACGTAGGTTTTCAACAACTGTTGTTTCGATTAAACTTTTGAAATCAAATTTGGCAGAATAGTTAGCGAGAAAAGTCCAAAAAACGGTCAACAAAAGGAAGAAAAGTTTCAACAAACCAATTGGTAAACATACAATCACCTTGAAAAGTGCGGAGAGTGTTAAAATTGTATTTCACTTGAAACGACCTAAAATTATGTCATTAAGTTGATGAGAAGATTTAAAAAAAACAGGCCGATTTTATTTGGGGGCCGAGGTATATTTTTTAAGCAAAACAAAAAAAAAACGAAGGAAAACCGAAGTCAAGGTCATTAAAGTTCTATATTGAAGGACGAAGTCTAACATTAAAGGCAACATTAAAAAAAGCGCGCAGCAAAAAAACGATTCCAAGATGAGACAATTAAGCCGAAAAAATTAATCAGACAAATAATTGGCCGACACTGTTATTTGAAACAGAATATTCCTAGTTTGAAAAAAAAGAGGTCCTACTCAGATTTGAACCCAGCCCGGGTCGAGATCCCGCTCAAAAACCGCTCAAGATTTGAGCGGTTTGAGCGGTTTTCCAGCAAAATTTGAGCGGTTTGAGCGGTTTGGGCGGTTTGGGCGGTTTTTTTGGAAAAACCGCTCAAACCGCTCAAATCTTGCTCAAAAAACCGCTCAAAAACCGCTCATTTCTTGCGGTGATTTTTGAACAGTTTTTCAAGCAAGATTTGAGCGGTTTTTGAGCGGTCTTCCCGGGTCGAGGTCCCAGACTCCCCCCCGCCCCAACTTACCCCCCCTCCCCCCGCCAACGTACTCCCTCTCCCCCCCCAACGTACCCCCCCTCAACGTACCCCCCCCCCCCTCAACGTACATCTAACTCTAGTAAGGGACATCAGCTCTAGTAAGAGGTGAGGGGGGACATCAACTCTAGTAAGAGGTGGGGGGGGGGGGGGGGGGGGTTGGGGTGGGTTGGTGTGCGATCTTATAATCGATTATTTTTGTTATTTTGCAGAGACTGACAATAAAAATCCTGACAGTATATTTGTTGTGTATGTCTAAAACATTGAACATATTCAGTAGAACAAATACAGCGAATATGAAGCTTCAAGCAAGTCAGCATAGACTAACGGATAAGGCGTCTGACTTCGAATCAGAAGATTGCGGGTTCGAATCCCTCCGTGGTCGACTTTTTATTATTACATCTTGCGCGGTTTTTTTAGATAAACCGCTCAAAACCGTTCTAATCTTGCGCGGTTTTTGAGCGGTTTTTTTAGATAAACCGTTCAAAAACCGCTCAAATCGCTCATTTTGAAGCAAGATTTTGAGCGTAATTGTCTAAAAAAATCGCTCAAACCGCTCAAATCTTGCTTCAAATTAGGTGAAAAATCTCGACTCGGGAGGACCTTTGCCGTTCAAGGAAAAATCGTACCTCCAGGCTAAAGTGGCTGGGAACGCAAAAAAAATTGAAATTTTCTTGATCCAAGAGACAAGTGATTCAAATTTTTCTGTGAAACAAGTTTTTAACCCGGAAAAAAGTCTATATTCCAGTTTTACAACGCTTGCTAATCGCAAATAAAATTATTTACTGAACAATTTACGGAAACTAGGCCGACAATTTTTGAACAGACGCCAGTTGAGCGAAAAAAAGCTGACTTTTTTAAACAACATTAAAATCTTTCAAGTCCCCTGAAACTACTCTGTAGTAACCATCTCCCACCGAGTAAATAAAAGTAACTTAGTACCTTCCCAACTAGCACCCACTCAACAGTGATTCAACTGATCATGTTAAACTAGTTGTTAACCCAAAAAAAACTAAATTCCGATTTATTATCATTTGTTAACCGGAGAAAAGTCTAAATTCCGATTTGGCGTTGGTGGGGACGCCCTTTTTTTCTCAGTGGTTCAAACCAATGCCAACCCAGAATGTCAATCTTTTGGTACTATTTCAAGACATCCAATTTTGGCTGACGAACACTTAAACATTTGTAAGACGCTTTTGGCGCCTGTATAGTTATTCTGAAGGCAAGTTTTGTTCAAAGAAGCCAACATGTGCCCAGAATGGCGTGGTTCGGCATGATGTTTTCTAAAATTTTACCAGCAGCGCATAAATTTTTGTAAACGGGGTTCTTCATAATGATAAGGACAGCTCAGAAAATGTTATGGTCAACCTTACAAAAAAACTTTTAAAAAACCGCTCCCCCCAATAAAACTCCAGATTTGCTCCGGTAAAGCACCGCATAAAAACTAGCTTGATAATTGTAAGTGTTAGCTCTTCTTCATCAGTTCCTCTACCGAGCGAGTTATTATGTCTAATGGGTGTCCTGAACAATTTTTCTCGATACGGACAGATTTTTAAAAAACTTTTACAAAATTGAAAAAGTCTTTGTTGATGATAATATTATAATATCGTACTGCGACCCTATCTGCTAACTCAGAAGATATTGAAATATCGGGAAAAAACCTATTTTAGATAAAAACCGAAAAACTTTATGTTTTTGGTAGCAAAATCATTGATCAAGTTCAAATCGTTAGCTGTGTTAATACATCTGTAATTGTTGATATCTTATAGTCAGACAGCGTTTAAAATAAAAAGAATAAGGTTGATCTCAAACATTAAACCAGTATTACATAGGGACTATTGAGATGTCTATGAAATAGGAATAAGACTAAGATATGTTTGGGATTAATTTTTGTACGAACCTATCCGGCCAAAAAAGATAGCGTGTGTACTTTGTCCAAACTTACTCTCTCAGATAGCAATTCAGCTCCATCTCAGAAATTCAAACACATTTGGCTATAATATGCAGTTTTATAGAAGCATTAATTGACGCAGAAACTCAGTTTTTGTCAATTTAGGGGATATTAAACGAACCAGTTTTTTTTTAGTTTTACCCGACTTGCAAAACTTTAACAGTGATTTTTTTTTGCTTACATTGTCCTTTATTCCTTTATTTGTTTCAAGGAAGCTTGCTGACTAATTTTGCTGCTCCAATCATATTTAGTCTTACCAACCGTTCAATTTCACAACCAAAAAATGATCGGACATAATTATTTGATATGTTATACGCAAAAAATGTGTCAGTGGAATCCAGACGACGCGTGAAAGTACAAACATGTGCCTATATTCATAAAACCGAGCTTGGCGTAATATCCAAGCATGTTTTTAATTTTTGCTTCTTTTTTGAACCAGCACGTGCTTTTTAACAGCATTTAGATTCAAACAGTTTGTAATCAACCAAACACACGGTATTTTTTGTACAGTCATCACACACAATACACACAAAAAACAACGTGTATTGGTTAAAAGTGCGAGCCAGAAAAACCGATCATTTGGACAAAAGTTAGAACGACCATTCTTCTATCAGAGAAAATATATAGATATATATATATAAATTTAATTTACGCTCAACTTACTTTTTCTCTCTTAAAAATTAGATTTAGTTTTAAAAATGCAAAGTGGAAAATATTTCGGAGCTCTTTTTCTACTCTTTCTGTTTCTCTTCATCGACATTTTCCTAAACTGTTTCATTTTCACACTTCGGGTAGAAAATGTAGTAGTTTTAGTTTTGTACATTTTCCAAGATATCTGTTTAGTTTTCGCCTTAATCGTCATGTCGCTAATGTTCGTCAATACTTACATTTTCCAAGCCGGTCTGGTTAGAATTCTGGTTAGGAAGTTCAAATTTACAATTATAACCAATGTTCTCTACTTGATAGTGACAGTGGCCTTTCACTGTGTTGATTTGAGCCAAAGATGGAAGTACCCTGATTATTACTACTGGGATAGTTATGAGCTCTCAGTGCTGTTCACGATCCAAAGGTAAACATTTGAAACTTAGACACGGAGACAAACGAGATGCTGCGTTTTTCAAAACAGCAACAAAAATGTCTTCTTCAAAGTTCGGCTCTCTCCCCTCGTAAAAGCACCAATTATATGGTATAACCAGGGGTTCTTTAAGGTTAAGTAAGACCAGTAGCGAATTTAGGGAGGGGTGGGGCGTGGGGGACGTTTCCTCTTTTCTCTGGAGTTCGACTGTCTGCCGAGCCAAAGGTTCCCCCTTTGGTACTTTTTTACGACATCCATATTGTCTGACCGACCCTATATTTTTTCGAAGGCTGCTTTTGCTACTTTTGGCTTTTTTCAAAATCCCGCTTTGATTTTTTTCTGAAACGATATTTACGAAAGCATGTTTATAATGACTTGAAATTCTAATTGCAATAAAACGTGTCAGCGTGAACGAGTAAACACATTTTTACAACAACTCTTACATTCAAATTGCCGTATGAACACAATTAAAAGAATTTTATTTCGTACGTTTACGAGGGGATGGGGATCTTTTCCAGTTTCCCACCCACTGGTAAAATTGCAAAAACAGCTGCTAAAAAACTTCACACTATTTTGCATGTAAGAATTATTGTGAAAATTTGTTCACGCTAACATGTTTTGATGCAGTTTATAACATGGAAATTAGTTCAAAATAGACTTTCATATAATGAATTTTAGAAAAAAAAATTAAAGGGGGGAAACTGGAAGAGAGCCAGGGGTGAAAAACAATTAAAAAAAAGCCTATTTTTTGAGAGGGAAACGCGATTTTAGGGGTCGAAATTTTTCCTTTTGGGAAAATTTCGACATACAATTGCGTTTTAAAAATAGTCTAATTAATTTGTAACTAAAAAGAACTAGTTTTTTTACTCATGAATCACAACCAAAAAAAACTACAAATTGTATCATATCTTGCTTCCTAGAATGTTGGCGGGTTTCCATTACTACTTCTACAAGCGAACTGCTCTCCGATTAGCTGACCCGCTCTTCTACAAGGACTCCCAATGGCTGAGGAACTGGCTCAAGGGAATCAAAAGCGGAGAACACCAAACCAATCTGATGCTGGCCTCAAAGACTGCAAATGACATCAGCAAAAAAACAAGGAATTTATAATATGACTGTATATATTGTATATGACTCTTCTTCAGTTCCCCCTTTCAATTTTTTTGAAATTCGATTTACAAAAGCCTATTTAAATGACTTCCAGGCTGTTTTTTATCCCCTCCCCCATATGGCTGAATATGTGATGTTACGATGTAAATATGAAGAGCAAATTTGTTCAAATTAGTTAGTTTTTTCTCCATGCAAAATTTCATCGCATTATGACAATGCTTAATTAGTTTTTCAAAACTGAAAATCGAAGGTTGAGGATTAGAAAAAGCCGACTTCTGATGTTCTAACCAGCAAAAAAAAAGATGACCAACAAGTGAGAAAATTTTTTTCACCTTTTTATACAAATTGCCATGTGAACAACTTTCAATCAGTTTCATATTGTGATTTCACGAGGGCGAAAGCAACTGGAAAAGATCAAACAACCTGCATATACAGAAAGATTTGAAAAGGACAAAAAATATCCATTATTTGCTATAAGTAAGATCAAAATGACAGAAAAAAATGAAAAAAAAATGCTTCATAAAAAGTTAAATGCAGAAATTTCAAACAATTGCGGCAAAAATCTGAAAAAAGTTTGTCAAATTTTTTTTCAAAAACTTCAGCCAGAAAATTTTTTAAAATTCCTGTATACTGTAAGCCTGTATACCTGCATTCCTGTATTCCTGTATACTGTAATATTTTGTAAGCAAAGCAGTCAAATCAAAATTGCAAACCAAAAACTTTTCTGGATTCTTATGAATTTTTTCGAAAAAAACTTTGACATGTGAAAACAATACGATATATCAACTCAAATCGATTTCAATTAAAACTTCTCAAATAGGAAACTATTTCAGCCATTTAAATATATACCTAATTCCACGCACTTGTGGAACTCAAACAAAAAAATCAAAAATCTTGCTTCCGAAAAATCTGAAAAATTGAAGCAAAAAAAATGTCTAGCCGAAGTTTCTAAGACCAATACATAAAACTTTGGCGTGCATAAGAACCAGGAAACCATGAACTATAATCAAACACTTGACAGGGAAGACAAAAAAAATTTAAAATCTACCAAAAAGCCACAGATTTAAACAAACGGCAAGAAAGCCGATCAAAATTGGGTCGAAATTATGAGAGCCGGCAAAAAATCAATTTATGTCTAAAAGCTGTCACTATCCTTCCATTAGCACTAGAACATCAATTAAACTACAGCAAGTTGTTGAAATTGGAAATCTTAAAGTTCAAAATCCTGTGAAAAAGAACTTCTTCAGTAGAAAAAGTCTGGTACCCGATTACAAAGATAGTAAGACACAAAAATAGGGAAAAAAAAACAATTACAATGCAGCTTAATGTAAAAGTTGGTCGTAGAAAATCAGCATATTGTGAGTTTCAATATTGCGATCAAATTTTACATTTTTTTTACACAGTTTCAGTGCACCCAGTTTGACCTTCGTACAAAAAGAGTCTCATCAAACAGTTCCATTCACTTAATTTTGCAGTAAGGATTATCATAAAAAATAAAAGCACTATAAAAAAACACATTTCAACAAAATTGAAAATATGTTTTCTTTTTTTGTGTTTTGAAAAAAAGGAAGGTCTTTTCTAATAAGAAAGGAGACTCTTTTTCTTTTTCCCCCACCTCACATACATCAATTTTAAGTTATTACGAGGGGTTTTACAAGGTTAAATATGAAAAAAAAAAACATGTTTTTCATAGCCTAATTAGTCCGCATACCAATTTTTGTAACAATCCGATGATGTGAACAAAATTTTATTATTAAAAATTCGCTGGTGGGGGGGGGAAGAGCCGAAATGAATTTTTTGGGATGAGATTTCTCTCAAAAGCTCTATGAATGAGCTAATTTCGATCAGCAGTTTCGATTCCCAAAAACCATTGAAAAACGTTTCTTAGCTAATGTAAATCTGTTCAACATTAAGTTTTGTTAATTGAGAGCGCATTTGCTTGTCAAAATTTTATTTTTTTAAGGAGTTGTACAAGCTAAAACAAATCACAAAATTTGCGAGCAAAAATCAAAACTGCAAGGCTTTTTTGTGTAAAGCTAGATTGTTTAATTTTATAAGTTAAACCAGTCTTAAAATTGTCTATGAAACTAACAACTAAATTCTGCCATTGGACCCCATCAAAAAACTTGTGAAATTTCTCACATGGAAAAATCCTTCGTTATTGAGCTTTGAAACCAATCACAAATTGTACAGTAAAACTCCAAGTTTTGTTAATTTTCAATTATGGCACAAAATCTAATGTACAAGTTTCATCTTTAGATAATGCTTGCTAAGACATAGAGATCTAGATGTTATATGATATCCGGTAGGTATGGAAGTGTATGCATGATTGGATGTGAGTGACTGGAATGTTTTTATACATGGAAATTGTTTGACTATAAACTTTGGTCAAGACGGGATAAAAAAACTGTTCAACTTGCTGTAAAATTTTGGAACAATTTCTGAGACGTATGAAATCGCCGCCATGCATCAAAAAACAAAACAGCGCATTGCTAATTCCAATCTAATAATATTTTCAAGCCTTCACAAATTTATGACTCACGATGAAGGCTGCTGAAAATTTTTTATAAGTTTGAGCTGAAGGCTTCTTTTTTCAACTACCAAAAATAACATTCAGAGTTGGTGAATAACAAGGTCGAAATTGGTTTAAAAAACATTAAGAAGCAGAAAAGTTCCGTCACATTTTTTGTGAGTCGGATCAAAAAAAAGTCAGAAAAATGTTCGAAATATGTATCAGTTGGCTTTTCTAGATAACCTCAAGTCCTTAAATACCGACTAGAACTTCCACGCATGAAATTTTCTTAAATCGTAGAAGACTAATCGTATCAGGGCTAAGCCATGTCTAATTCGACTGCACTGTTATGTCCAATTGGAAAATTGCTGCTCAAAAAATTGAATAGCTTGTCGAGAAAAAACGGGAAAAATAGTGTTTTGTTAGAGATCCCATACGCTATGTTCAATTCAAAATGATATATTATGCTTCAGGTAATTAGATTTGAAAAAATGATAAATTGTTTCAGCTCAATTTGGAAGGATTTAGCTTGACGCTTGGGTTTTCATGGGAATAAAAATGTTGTGCGACAAATCAGCATTTTTCAACCCCCACCTCCTCTCCCTCATGATGTCACAAATAACAATCGGGCGTAGATAATTTTTCACGAGCTCAGAATATTCATAGATTTCAGATGATACAAAGCCTATCAAATGAAAGGTTAGACATTTTTCTGAAGAAAAAACATCGTACACAATTATTTGTATCTTGTTCCAACTTTCTTCGAAAGTCGGAACAGCAAACTTATCTTTTACTTGCTTTTTCTCTCGGCGTCTACGTTTGTGCGATTTATAAATATTGGGTATTCTAACTGGTATCTAAATTTTCTACTAGACAACTTACATCCAGTTATTTTTAATTAACATATCGATTCAAATTCAGTAATGAGCTTGAATTATAAACAGCAAATGAGCAACTGATAGCAAAAAAATGAAAACTAACTCTCTTTTAAAACTTTTTGTATCCACAATTGATAGAATGCTCTCCAGTTTCATCTAAGTTCGCCGGCAACTAGTTTCGTCTCAGCTAGGCTTCTTATGATAAAACAAACATTTTTAAGTTTCATGAAAAAGAATGCTGGAAAAAAAGGTCTTTTCGAAAAAAAAAACATTCATACTTTATCAATTTGATTCATAGCGCATTAATAGCCGCTATTTTTCACGAGCTCAGAGTATTCATAGATTTCAGATGATACAAAGCTTATCAGATGAAAGGTTAGACATTTTTCTGAAGAAAAAAACATCATACACAATTATTTGTACCGTGTTCCAACTTTCTTCGAAAGTCGGAACAGCAAACTTATCTTTTACTTGCTTTTTCTCTCGGCGTCTACGTTTGTACGATTTATAAATATTGGGTATTCTAACTGGTATCTAAGTTTTCTACTAGACAACTTACATCCGGTTAGTTTTAATTAACATATCGATTCAAATTCAGTAATGAGCTTGAATTATAAACAGCAAATGAGCAACTGATAGCAAAAAATGAAAACTAACTCTCTTTTAAAACTTTTTGTATCCACAATTGATAGAATGCTTTCTAGTTTCATCTAAGTTCGCCGGCAACTAGTTTCGTCTCAGCTAGGCTTCTTATGATAAAACAAACATTTTTATGTTTCATGAAAAAGAATGCTGAAAAAAATGTCTTTTCGAAAAAAAAAACATTCATACTTTATCAATTTGATTCATAGCGCATTAATACCCGCTATTTTTCACGAGCTCAGAATATTCATAGATTTCAGATGATACAAAGCTTATCAGATGAAAGGTTAGACATTTTTCTGAAGAAAAAAACATCATACACAATTATTTGTACCTTGTTCCAACTTTCTTCGAAAGTCGGAACAGCAAACTTATCTTTTACTTGCTTTTTCTCTCGGCGTCTACGTTTGTGCGATTTAAAAACTTTGGGTATTCTATATAGTTACTAAATATTCTACTAGACATCTTACATCAGGTATTTCTTAATTAACATATCGATTCAAATTCAGTAATGAGCTTGAATTATAAACAGTAAATGAGCAACTGATAGCAAAAAATGAAAACTAACTCTCTTTTAAAATTTTTGTATCCACAATTGAAAGAATGCTCTCCATTTTCATCTAAGTTCGCCGGCAACTAGTTTCGTCTCAGCTAGTCTTCTTATGATAAAACAAACATTTTTATGTTTCATGAAAAAGAATGCTGAAAAAAACTGTCTTTTCGAAAAAAACATTCATACTTGATCAATTTGATTCATAGCGCATTACAACCCAACGAAATATCCGGGCAAAGTTTAACCGAGCAAATTTCAAATATTTGTTTCAAAGTGTTGAATACAGTAGTAATATCAAAGCTGTGACAATAGAGAAATATCTTCATCAAATGAAAACAGCAAACAAAAATATTGCACTTAAAAAGTTTAGAAAGAATGAGTTACAAATAAGATGTAAATAGTATCTGAAAATTATTGAACACGTGAAAATGAATGCTACGAGCTCCTCGTCGCCACGTGGCATAATCAAAAAAAATTTCAGGTCCTTATCTAGCTTTCAGTGTGTGTTTAAGTTCAGTGTGTGCTCTGCAATTCTGAAGATTTCAAATAGTTTAATACTCAACACTCATAATATTAATGCAAGTTACAG